CTTTCTTCTTACTTATTATTATTACTATTATTATTAATAAAAAACCAGGATGATCATAAAAACATAACGACCATTTTGTTCTGTGTAAAAGATGAATTGAACTGTAATATTTCTCTATCAAATTCTTCCCATAGACTAAGATTTAACACAAGCTTTACTGTTTTCTAATAACGAAAAAAAGAATCTTTTCCAAAATGAAAAATAAACCAGAGGAGAGAAAACATTTCCTTCCGGAAGTAATAAATGATACCGAACAAGTTATAGCAAAAAATCACTTTTTATAAACTGTCCACGGCAAACATCCATCTTCACTTGACGCTTATTCAACAGTAATACGGAAACAAATAGAGATTCCTCATTGGTTACAATACCGCATAGCTGTAGCAATTTTCTGTTCAGATATTTTTTTCAACATAGTGCAGAAAACTGTTGCTAGAATGTAAAAAGATGAAAAAAAACCCTGGGTGAACGAACATATTTTAAAGGTGATTTAAAGATACGTAAGAAAAAAAAAAAAGTCAGAATTAGTGCAAATATAATTGTAAGAAATAAGGCAGCCATTATAAACGGTGATAAACTAAATCTACTGAACAGTGTACACTAATTTAAAGTAAGACTAACAAATTTTCACCAAAAAAGCTTTAGTACAATGATGTAAGACGATTTAAGAAAAACCTGAAAGAGCAACCGAAGTGCTTAAAACAGCATAATTAAAGTATTGCGCTAAAATCGGATTTAGAAACAAAAAAAAAAAGAAATATGCCCTAGCCTTCGTACCGTCGTTATTTTAGTGTTCACTCCCGTAATGTGACGCCATTCAAACGCCGTAGATAACGCACACTGTTAGTTATTGTTGAAAACAAAACGAAAAAAAATGCCATTCAAAGCACTTTTGAAACTTCAGCTTTTTTTTTTTTTGTACAAAAAAATGCCCCAAAACTAAAGTAAAATGAATGTCGTCTATACATCCACTTGTAAATCACTACAATACAATTCTAGTTCTTCCTAGAAAAAAAACAAAATTTATACTGCCACAGAAAAAACTTTTCTTTCTTTAAAAACCTTATTCAATACCAACCCTTCTTAACAAAGGAGTCCTTCCTTTACAACATAATCACAAAGAAAAGAAGAAAAAAAAAAGACATTATTTGAAGAAGAAAAAAAATGAACGCGACCTAACTAACCATTTTAGTACAAATCAACTGTTCTTCCTGTTTTTAATTACTCAGCATCGCTTTTTTTACACAGTATGACTCTGCCAAAACAGTAGCATTTCTTTCATAGAACAAGTTGATGGAAAACCATCACTAGAAAGTATATTAAAAAAAAAACATCTGTAGTGACAAACATTTCCTGAAAAAAACTAAATTACTCGCATAACTTTACACCCAAAAAAGAAAAGACAAAACAAAGAAAGAAAAAAAAAAAGATGTCAACAACAATAAACAAATTACAGATGACAGAAGTGGGAGGTGAAACAAATGGAAACAGATAGCGGAAAATGTCATTAAAAAAAAAAAAAAACAAAAAAATAACTTCTTCATGCAATCAACCTAATTTTAGCAACAGAATCTAACAATTATCTATCTCCATTGCCTTCTTTTTTGACGGATATCTTAAGACAACCCAACAATACCATCACATGTCTTATACAGCTAAATAAACTACCAATCAAAAATATCATACATTTCAATAAACAAAATCATCAACTCACTATCATTCACGCCGTTTCGCTGCTGATGGTAAGGCAGCAGAAGTAAACAACAACAACAACAACAACAACGACAACAACAACAACAACGACGGCGACGACAACAGAAGCTGCAACAACGGCAACATCAACAACACATTTTTGGAATCATGCCAATCGGCAATCCTTCCTCTTCGTTGTACGCTAAACGCTGGCTCTTCGTTCGTGTATCAACAAATGCCGCTTGCTTGGCACCATAGCAAGCAACATGGCAATTGACAGATCAGCGTTGAGAGATCAATTCTCTACTGCAACAATTCCCGAAAGCTTCTCAGAAATTGCTTAGATTCGTATCTGCGCATGGCCTTCGGGCGTTTACAAATACTTTCGTAAACATCTCCATATAACAACCTCTGGAACTTTGGCATATGAGCATTGCTAAGTTTTTAAGCGCCGTGCGCGCTGCACAGTGCCGGTCTCCAGAAGAAAGTGTGGATAGCAAAGGGGGAAAAAATTGGGTAAGCTTGTCGATAGTTCGAAGAATTTGACTGCTTTCTGGACTGTCGACTGATCTATCCAACCCTGTTATCTGTCTGTTAAAAATACTTTTTCCCATCAGATCAACGCGATTACTGTAATATTTCTAAGCGTTTTCTAAAGGAATTATCCGGGTATCTACATTTTATACAGTGCTTTAGCTGCCCACCGTATACCGCGGAGTACAAAATAACCAAAATGAATACGGTGAACCGGTGAATACTGTGAACTCCATAGAAACTAAAATTGTTATTTTAATGTAACGCATTTTGACTGGCAATGAGTAACACCCTCCAATAAACATATTCTTTGCTCAATTTTTATGTACAAAGTTAACAGGCGTTTTTTTCTTTCTCCTTGCGCTATTTATTCTACTAAAAGTTTACTGCAATTTCTCGAACAAAATTTACCAGAGAAAATTTATATATTTATCCATAAATAAATAAATAAATAAATAAATATATATATATATA